CATGCGACCTCCAACCTTGCCTTCTACCTTGATCAGCTCGAAGTTAACATCCCTTTTCTCCAAGTCCGCTACCGAGAGAACCGCCTGAAGATAGAATATTTTGCAAATGTTGAATCAATATAGTTTTTTTATTTCATTATAATGTTGCTGAATTTTTAAGACTCAGATTTCGTTATTAATTTATGAAGCTAATAAACTATTACCATTTTTGCTAAATCAAATATGTATTTTAGGACTTTAATTTGGTGATTTGAGACATCAGTAGGAAGGCAGCATGCGTGTATCACCACAGACATTCTGTCGTTTGCACATCGCATGATTTTTCATCATAATCTCAAATACCATCAACATAACATCATAGCTTATATTCTAGAGGCCACTACATTCAATGGACCATATACCATCAACCCGTAGACATTTGTTAGATAGCATATCAACTACTGAGTATGGCTACGTAGAAACACATAAAAAAGGCAACTTACATCAACAGCGATCTCAGCCATCAAACGATGGCACTTGACGACCACTTTACTGCCCAGCGTTGTCATGGCAACCTTAATGAGGTGCTCCCTGGTATCCTTGTTGACTGGGAAAGCTTCGCTGATTCCCTCCAAGTGAGCCAGAGCTGTTGCTGCGGCCATTTCGAAACCATCTGCTACACGAATTGGGTGGATGCCCTTGTCTAGCAGGTTGGAGGCCTGTTCCAAGAGTGCACCTGTGAAAGTTAAAAGTCATGATTAAGAGGCATTTATTATAATCAACATATTTATATCCTGAATGCAGCGTTATACCTTGATTAAATGAAAAATTTTTTTAATTAATGTCATTTACGAGTAAAGAAAAATCTAACTTTTCTTCAAATCAAATTTTGAAATGCCTTACTTTATAAAATATTTTTAATACTCAATTTACATGTTCTACACTGCGCATCTTAAAATCTTAGCTAACCTATTTAATTGCAACAACAACTCCAAAAAATCATTTCCCACAAAACTTACCAGCCAAAACCACAACACCAGTGGTACCATCTCCAATCTCATCATCCTGACTCTGAGCCAACTGTACCAGCAGTTTGCCGATCTGATGCTCTACATCCATAAGCTTCAAGATGGTGGCACCATCGTTAGTGACTGTTACGTCACCATCTGGAGATACCATGAGCTTGTCAAGCCCACGGGGACCTAAAGAGGTGCGGAGGATGCTCGCAATCTGACGGGCAGCTGAGATGTGGGACTGTGGAGAAGGAGGTCAAAATTATAGAATATTAACAATAATCTATTCCTTTTTTATGCTGGGAAAGCAGCACAATAAGCCACTGGAAAATGTGTTATAAAAATTACTTTTAAATCAATATATATAATTTTACTGATGTTGCTACAAAAATATAGATATTATTAGACAAGATGTGTTTTTTTTTCTCGATTATTTTCTACAGAATCTTTAGGACCCTATTAAAATGTACCAATTTCTCAGCATCATAACAATTTCTAATAGGAATTATTAAGGTATTGAGACATTTTGAGTCATCAACATGTTCATAAATATGCCTTAAATTAATGAATGAATGAATAGGTAACAATATCATGCCAACCACATAAATTATTTTTTAACTTAGATTGGTAGTAAATTCATATTCGGAACTCAACTACACTAAAACTGCTGATTCAAGAAATATTATTCATACTCTTTTATTTAACCTTGTTATTATTTTATTCTTAAGTGCCTTACAAAGATACTGGTAAGTTATAAAAATGAACTATATTAATGTAATAAATAAAAACTCTTTGTTGATGCAAGAAAGATATAAAAAAAAATTTTAATCATAATACAACGTTCATTGTACATATTATCCCAATTAAATAGCCTAACTTTACATTGTACATACTCTGCATACTTAGTTCAACAAAAGTCTACTAAGGTTACTTTATAAGAACAATGGAATATATATTAAAAAACAAATTTTGTGATGAATTTTGTACAAAATCGATAATTTTCCTAAAAATAATAGATATTATTGGGATCAAATAAGATTTTTAGGCCATACGAATAAAATTCGGAGATAAAAATCTCACAGGTTGCTCAGAATTACGATCATGTGATTCATAACACCTGACATTATGAATTCTTGTATCTTACAAAAACAGGATTTGAGACAATAATAAATGGATGAATATGTTTTATACGTCTATAAACTCCAATTTTAAGCTGAGTCTTATTTATAAATTACAATGGATTTCAGTTTATTTTCGATTTCTCCAACTTGTATTAGACGAACTTAGGTTATGCATTTTTGTATTGTTTTTTGTACTTTTTACACAGGTTCTAACTCAATTACCACTGAGTTAGGTGCGATTAATAAACAAATTAGTGGGTACAGGATTATTTAGTGATAAATAAGGAAGAAAATAGTAATAAGTTACCTTCAAGGCATCGATACCGGTAAGCCGTTTTTGCCTATCTTGGTCCCTCAAAATGATAAATGGACGACCATACTCGTCAAAGGCCACCGCTCCGGGGAACAGAGCCATTTTATATTATTTTATCACTTCACAAACTCAAGATGAAAGCAGATTTAGTTTCATAGATTTCACTACAAAATCGAAACAAAAACCAAATGACAGTTCTATAAATTGAATTTGACACTTCGTCATATGACCACAGACTACAATAGAATATAAATCTATTTCACGCAGAATAGTTGTTGATGTTTTAACCCTGATTAAAATATTCTTTCAATTTATTTTATAGTTTTGAAGGACTCTATTGTTAAAATAAGCAGTAAAATAGGCAATGTAAAATTGGAATATCCCTTAAACATGGCCTTAACATTGAATATATCTACTTACCATAGGAGAAGACTGAGGTACCTATACCTTTGTTTAATTTTTATTCTAGCTACTCTCGAGTAGTTTCCTTCTCCTTGAGATTGTAGCGTGATGATTTATACCGGTAAAAGGTCGGCAACACACTCGTAATTCCTCTGTTGTTGCAGGTGTCCATGGACGACGCTGATTGCTTACCATTAGGTAATCCATCTGCCCGTCCTACCAAAAAAAAAAATATAGCCGTCCTCGATAAATGGACTAACAAGCTCAGAAAGATTTGTTTAATTCTAACCAGTGGTTTCGGAGATCGCGTTAAAACAAACAAACTCAGCTTGGTAATAATAGTACAGACAATCTTTATGGTACATTATTATATTAAATAAGCAAACTTACTTCCATAGCGCTATTGCCGTTAGATGATGTAGAGAAAGTATGTCCTATAGGCACTAGTGGGCTAAAACTGCGGATAGATACGATTTTTATTTAGATAGGTACCTATATTTCCAGCGCAATTAAGTTGATCAAGTTACATGCTTTTGTATAGGCAAGTTGAAGCACCATATTATCGTGATGGCCCGGACGTTTAGGCGTCCGCTTTTCATGCACGAGGGCACCCTCGGGTTCAAAATATAGCAAGCGCTAATGTTACTTTTCTGAGTTATATGGACTTTCTTTGATTATTTAGACACCACTGACAAGTGTGGTAGAGCCATGCTTCGGCACGAATGGGCCGGCTGTACCACAGAAAACCGACGTGATGTGACTTACGTTGTGTTATACCATGAGAGTTAGGCTACCTACCTGAGGTCCAATCCTTCCCCAACCTCAAATCCACTATCCTTAAATCTATACTTATATACTTATATTATAAAGTTGTAGAATTAGTTTGAATACACGAATCTCCGGAACTACTGATTAGAATTGATAGATTATTTTTGTTTTTGTTAGTCCATTTATCGAGGAAGGCTATAGGATATAAAACGAGCAACGAGTGAAATCGCGCGAGAATAGCTATTCTCGTAGAACCCACAAGAGGCCGGCAACGGACTTGTAGTAACTCCTATGATATTATGAGTGTCCATGGGCGGCCCTGATTGCGTACAACCAGTTTGCCCTATGACAAAAAAAAAACTGACATACGGAGATGGAAACAAACGCGAGAAAACCTTGACTTGTAGTTTCTAATGATTAGTTGGTAATTTCATCACCAATCTGCCTTGAGCAAACGTGGTTAATAATGCTCAAACCTGGGTGTGGGAGGAGACCTTAGCTCAGCAGTGGGCACTTGTGTATAGGCTGATGATGAGTGACGTGATGAAGTAGGAGGACCTAGATACTCTTTGCTCTGCCTTGCAAATGAAACTAACAAAATTACCCAAAAATAATTTTATTTATTATCCAACTTTCATGGACACACTTGTTTCCATGAAGGGGGTTTGGCTTGATCATAAATGAGAGCAAAAACGTAAGACAGCCCAATGCAGCATAACAAAATAGTAATGGAATACAAAAGTCTATCACAAAACCCTCCTTTTAAGAACACCGGGCGTCCGTCATCGCATTGAAAATCAGCTTGAATCTTCTTCAATTTTATTAAACTCCTTTGTTGTAACAATGGCGGCGTGGTAGAAATGCCTCGTCGTAAACATCTCGTAAAGATTCTCAGCAACATAGTAATTTTATCCGCTTTCTCTTTGTTTGTTGATTATAATGTTTTTGATAGATAATTTGACAGGCTGTTGAGTTTCTGTTTTTTTCTTTTAATGGATGTCATTTTGTTCTACTAATGTAACTGGCCATATTATTGTTAACCTTAAAGAGGTGTCAGTTAATTGTATAGAATGGTTTTGTAACTCATTAACTTTTTTACTCTTATCTAGTTAACTTGGTGTTTTGGTAAAAAAAACGTTGCCCTATAATATATAGTAGCTCTTGTGACCATTTGACCATTGAATGGGTTTAATATACGTACTTATTTGCCACACACCATACCTGACAATGTCCTTAGACTTCACACTTTTCGGGAAAATCAAAGCCGTGTGCTAGTAATATTATGTATTAAAATAAATGAAGATGAATACCTACTTCTAAATTGAATATAAATAACTTAATAGCTATATACTATGAAAATACGAGATAGTGGCGTATCAGGCGTAACGCGAGAGTCCAATCGATTTGAAAATTTGTCAGCGCGACAAAACGTGATGAACATTTATAAACTAAATTGATAGGCTGGACTCGATAAGCCACATCACAGAATGTGTCTATAATAGGCTTATGTTTCGAAAGTTGGAACTGCGAAAACCGACTTACCGTGTTAATACAAAAAAACTCAATCCTAAATCCCAGCCATGGAGGAATATTTGTCTATAGTCTAATGTCCTGACTGAGTACTCGCTACCTTGCTGTATATCTAATGCTTGCTATTAATAAAACAGCCAAACTACTGAATAATACGTTTATATTGCAATCATCATAATTAATAGATACATCATTATTCATTAAACAGAAATTATCTATCCTTCACATAGCACTGTCACAATGTCCTCACAATCCTCACTACCAAAAACTTTTACCGAGCGAGAAGTCTTATTCAGACGACTTCCTCGCTCGTTTCCGACGCTAAATATCAAATCTTTCGAATGCTAACGACTTGCCCTCCTCTTCATATTCCTCTTTGGTCACACAGAAGGAGTAGAAGTCAGGGTCTCTGAATATTTGCTTACCACCTTCCCAAGCGTAGGTAATAGGGTTATCCGGCTTCATGACATTCACGTCATAATGGTCCAAGGCCAAACTCCGCACATCATTGTAGACCCTATCCCTAAAGCCTGGAAACATAACATTTCCTCCATACACAACTATATTTTCTAGTAAACTTTCCATGTGCTCCTCCGGACACGCAGATATGGAATGCATAATGGCTTCAGGGATCCCCATCTGCGGTATTCCAACGTCTGATGGATGGAACAGCAGTTCTGGTATGGCGAATCTCTCGTTATTCATTCTGAGAGTTTGTTGTTCTAGATCCTCATCTGGTTTGACCACATCTCTTAAATATCCGCGACGGATTGACGTGTAATCTGGTAGCACGTAGTCTTTCACTATTGTGTTTTCTGAACCTGTAAATTGGAAAACATTTTATTTTATTGTGTATGAGAGGAATTGGTTTTAAGAAAGTGAAAAAGTCAAATAACTTATTTCAAATAGACCACAACAGGTACTTTTGAACGTCCAACAAAAAACATATCAAAAGGTTCAACAGAGAAAGCCTAAAATGGAGGCAACGTTATCTAAATGATGAAGCTACAAGTGTCAACTTGACTGAAAATTAACAAAACAACTTACAACAGGATCATAGTGTTAGGGAACATTTTTTTAAAGTCGCAAGGGTAGTTATCGATATAATTATCTCGGTGTCAGTCATATTTTGTTTGTAAACTGCTAGGTACAAAAACGCTATTATCGACTCCACTTTTAAAAAATTTCTTTCATAAGAACCTTCTTTTGACAATAATGAACATGATAAGTCTATTAACTACCTACTACTAGTAGTCTTTTTATAAAACGCTGTCCCATACAAGGATTTTCTCCTGTGTCGTGGGTGTGTTTACAAACGTACACAAAACATGACAATTCACACCTGACCCGCAACATCAATTATTGTGGATCGCACAAAGAGTTGTTCCGTGCGAGAATCTAACCCGCGACACGTTGTACGGCAGCCAGTTGCCCAGCCACAGCGTAATCTATACAGTCATTGGGCACTAACAAGGAAGGATAAATTTAAAAGCTGATAGCCAACTTTTAAGTACGACGAGGCACCACCAAATAAAAATGGAACTTGTTCAAAAAATTACTACATAATCTATCAAATCCAGGGTAACAAATTCATCTTTCCAGTATTTGACAAATAGCTATAATCCGCTAAAAAGAGGCCGTTCTAATTTTTTACTGCATGTTGGTAGAACTGTACTGAATAAGCGCGAAAAATTTAAGCGGGATCTGTCATTAAAATTACTTTATATTAAATTACACTTTTTGTTGGTGAGAGTTTTGAGTTCTCGGCGATTTTTACAATGGAAAATATTGTTGAACAAAGAGTGTGCCTTAAATTTTGTTTCCAAAGATATTTAATGTGGTGAATCTCTAAAAATGTTGCGAAATACCTACGGCGAATCGGGTGTATAGAAAACAAGGGCTTATTAATGGTATAAAGCTTTTAAAGAAGGCCAAGAGGTAGTAGGTAGCAGACTTGCCTCGTTCTCGTAGTCCCTCAACCGCAGACCGCTACAACCAAAGAAAACATCGACAGAATGAAGAAGCTAGTGCTCGAAATTTGACGTATGAGTCTGAGAGAGTTGGCTAGTGAGGTGAATATATCTTTTAAGTCCGTCCACAATATTCTCATTGGCATTTCGGCATGAAACGAGGGGCCGCTCGATTAGTTTCAAAAGAGCTTCGTTTAGTTCAAAACCATGTCGCTGAAGACATGGTTTCCCGAGTTTTGTTTTAAGTAAGGCGAGAGAGTGTCAGACTTTTACTGAGTAACCCCCCCCCCCCCGTTCCTTCTCCTGCTCTGGGCCGAGGTCTCATTGCGCTTACCCCGCAGCCCCGGCCAGATCCGACCTTTATGAAACGTTTAACAACTGGCTTTATGAGTACGACATGCAAACAAGCCAAAAGTCTGCAGAATGGCGTCTCGAAAACGAGCTAAAACAAAAACACCGCGGCAAGGTCGCTCCAAAATCAAGGTGATGCTAACAGTTTTTTTTTACTACTGTGGTGTGGTTAGATGGAGAAACAGTGAATAAAGGATATTATCTAAGCATCATGAAGTGTTGGCGTGAGAGTATCCGCCGAAAATGTCCAGATTTGTGGTAATACAACTCATGGATGACCACCATGATAATGCAACACACACAACAAATAAAGTGAAAGAGTTTTTAGCGAAAAATTCAACAAAAGTTCTCGACCAATCACTATATTCACCTGATATGGCTCTGTCTGACTTTTATTTTCCAAGTTAAAATTACCACTTTGAGGAAAATTTTTTGAGTTGATAGAAGCCATAAAAGGAAATATACTAAATGAGCTAAAGGCCATACCGCAAATAGCCTATGAAAAATGTATGGAAGACTCTGGGTGAAGCAGTGGAGATGTATTGCAAGAGATGCAGCCTACTGTGTAGATTAAATAAATTTAGTTGAATAGTTTGTATTTTTTGTTTAATTGACACAGAATGTATAACATACACCTGGTAAAAAAAAGTTTAATGTTCCTACTCCTTTTTTTTATTTATTGTACCATAGAGTTTGGTATCCAGGACAATATTTAAAAAAAAATCAATATTTGAAAGATGTTACCCATTGTATAATAGGTATCTAAAATTATTTTTTATAAAGTGACTGTTTTAATATAAACATAATAGATTCAGAATTATCACTTTAAAAATTAATTATTTTTGTGTTGGATTAGCCATCTATCAAATTAATAAAACATCATGCTATGACCAAATGAAGCTAAGCAATGGGTGAAAACCCATGGGAATAGCTAGTTATCAATAAACTAGAGATATCACTTTGATTAACATGTAAGTAAAACAACTTTGGACTCATTTACATGTTCTTACAAAAATAGTGAACATACAAGTAACCAAATACTCAAAAATTTCTAGTATTTAAAAAAGCATTCTCACCTTTTTTCTTAGCAATCTCCATGTCGGCCAAAAAGTCTTGCGACACAAAGCATGAATCCTCTTTCGCCTGATTTATAACATAAGTCTCATCCATCACATTCAACTGCCTATAGGATAATACTTCTTTTAAATGATTTGTCAGTACTTTGCCACCAACATCTATCCTTCTTATGCCTTCCCGGTACTTTTTTCCATCAATATAGGGAACAATGTTGGTGAAACTGTATCCAGAGTCAACAACAAGGGTACATTTGTTATTATGGTCCTTCCGATACTTGTATTCAGCCAAATCAGTAGCATTTATGCGCAGTAATGATGTACATTCATATTCTTCGAAGAATATTTCCGTCATTGCTTCTTGTATGGATGCAAAGTTGAATAATGGCTCAGTTATTATAAGTGGCGTCTCACTAAAGTTGACGGGACAGCATTCCTTGCTAAACATGTAGTCCCACACCGTTTTCTGAGTATCCCAATTGATAAGAAAACCTCTTTGGAACGGCAGAATGTAGAAGAGACCCGATGCATCTCTACAGTCGTCTATTTGGGAACCTATAAATGGACGTCGCCTTTCTGACTTCGCTTTCATAATGCAGTTAGGGACTACCTTCGCTTCAGTGTTGGAAAATCCCACTTTAGCTGAGTAGCCCCCATTGTCGAGAATATAACAAGATGTTTCTGACATTTTGCGTCGTTCGCTTTTTTAGGTTACCGGCGAAAAGGTCCCCAATTTCGATTGTTCTCACATTGAAAAATGTTCGTCAACTGACATTGTAATTGGTTTATTTCAATTATTTAGTCAAAGATTTCAAATAATACGATTTGTTTAGGAGATAGATACGACGCGCTCTGGTAGGCTTCGAACTTGCAAAACAAAACTATTGTCAATGTCACAATCAATGACAAATAGTTACTTTTTTATGGGCTTGTACTTGCTTGAACTAGAGTCTTTAACTCTTGGTTATTGCAACTGGCAACACTTAGGCATCGGTCGCAGTCTATTTAGAACTACGTTACTACGAAATAACACTAATATTGCGAAATATGTTTTTTATTAAGATCTATGTTAGAAATATAAATTATGGTTTTGATTTCCAATAAGAACATCGCCTTACTTTATATTCTGCTATCCTACTTGAAAGTTTTGTAAGTGTGGGAGAGCCAAGCTTCGGCACGAATGGGTCGGGTCGACCAGAATTATTTATACCACGGCCACAAAGAAAACCGGCTTGAAACAACCATAGCGTTGTTTCGCCGTGTGAGTGCGGTTACCGGAGGGCCAATCTCTCCCCTTAAATATCCGCAACCCTTATGGCCGGCAACGCACTCGTAACTCTTTTGGTGTTGCGAATGCCTATGAGCGATGCCGATTGCTTACCATCGGGTATACTCGTTTGCAGATCCAAAAGTAACTCTGTCTGACTTTTCTTCAGGCCTAAACTACTGAACTGATTTCTGTGGACATAGGATAGATTTTATACCAATACTCTGCAGGAAGTCACTACTCCACGCGAATCGAGTCGCTATCTAGATTTGACATAAACATATCATTCCAGACCATAGTCGCCTATGCATTTGTAGTTATTTGCATAAACAGATAATTTATATATTCCACAATCTTAAAACAACTGTTCTGGAGCTTGCAAAGATCTGAGACATTCTGATAAAATTTAACCCAGTCATTTTATTATTTATGTACTCTCATTCATATACAATGGAAAAAAATACAAATAATTCTAGAACGGAATTTATTAAATCATAAATATGATTATTTTACACTTTGCTAGCTTAAACCTAAAACATTTTGATGCGTTAACACAGACGATTGAAGCTTTACCTGAAAAAATAAACAAAAATTTTGTTATTTCATATTACATGAATGAAGATCTTCATTCCTCCTGGCATGGATCAAAAGAAAAATAAGTAAATTTTTTTTTTTTTGATCATGTAATTTTTTTCTATTATGTCAGTATCTCCTTGAGGTATTTTTCTGACAATCTTCACAATTTTTTACTTCATAAACTAACAACTTGTAATTTTGCCTACATGTTTTTCAAAGTTCTTCAAAGAAAAAGAGAAAAATGTAGCCTATACCAGCTAGTAACCCAGACCACTGAAGTTTTCATTTGAGACAAGGATCAAGAAAAGACAAAGATCAAGATCCTATGCTGTAGGTGTGTTTATAAACACAATTTCTAATCATCACATCCAGATCCAGAGTAAAGTTTGGATCACATCAAAATAATTGTTATGACATGTGTGGAAGCAACCCCAGTTGTTTGTCCAGCCATTAAACCACTCTGTCTAAAACCTATTGTTAAAATTTCTCAGCATCGCCCTTGAGGTTGACTGGTAGAGAATGCCTTCGGGCATTAAGTCCGCCTTTGTATAAATATTGTACATAACAAAAAAACCAAGTAGTTTAACAATTTACAACAAAATATTTGGGCAATGTATTGTTAGTTCAGTTTGAGAATCGAACCAACACTACTGTAGCCTGCAGGGTTCCCTTATGTGAGTGGTGTGTGTTTCAGGGGGAAAATCATGAAATCTAATGCTCCAGACTGAGGCTGCAGTACATTATTTACGCTTGACTTGCAACCCTGGTTTCTCTCTCAGGGGTGAATTCTCAACTATCTTGACCTAAGTGTGATTGTCATCGGTTTGGGGTTAGATAAATTAAGCTTGTAACCAGACAATATTTTTTTTCACAGTGTTTCTATAAGGGTGGAAAAGAGTACCACCCATACTTTTAGTCACCTCATTTGATCATAGAGTAAATATCTTACTTCTTAAGGAGTTGGTGGCGGCAGATCAGGTAGGGGGCAGCCAAGCCGGAGCCAAAGAATGCGATGAAGTAGACTGTCAGCTTGTAGCGGTTGGAAATGTCGAAGGGCAGGTTCTGAAATTATTTCCGCAAAAACAATTATTAAATATGATCAATACTAAAGATTTTTCGAGTTTCTTATTCTCTACATTAACATAAGTTTAACGTGTAATACGTAAAAGTTGTACTTAGTAGTTAAGAGTCTTAAATTTTACTGCTATTGCAGAGTATTCTAAATAAATAAGATGTCACCTATATGGGGAACTTAACCTATGAATTTATTGGCACGATTTTGATGTTGTATCTGGTCAATGAAGAACAAGATTATGCTTAATTATTAAAAGTGCAATTAACAGAGTGAGATTAATAAGTATTATTTTACATGTAATAAAAACAATTGACGCATATCCCAAGATTATGTAATGACATAAAATTTTGAATTTAGAACTTACCTCTCCAGGGATGCCACCGTTTGAGTGGTTCCTCACCATTGTGGTGATCACATTCCTGCCCAGTTTGTTTGAAATACGAGCAATGGGAGCAAACATTTTGCTGTTAGAAGATTCCTTTGACAAATATCAAGAAATACAGAAAATTCGATTTCCTTCACCTCACGAAAAGTGGTGTTATTTTTTTTATAAAAACTACCGAAACGTTCCAATTATTTGGGTTGGTGGTAGTTTTTATAATGAACGCACCTGTAACTAGCAAAATTAAATAGAATAAAACTGCTGTTTATATTTTCTATAAGATATATTTGAGATTTATCTACATAGCTAGTAACAAAATTATTTAATCAATAATTAAGTTTAACTTTGCTCAGCTGAATTGTACCTGAAACAAAATAGTTACAACCTTGAGTCTCGTTAAAACTGTGTTAAAACAAACTTAGGTAGGATGTGCCATGAGAAATCATAATATTATAAAAAACAACATATTCTAAACAATACGCAATAAAATCTTATACATTTGCTTGGATTAGATGGGAAATGCCATTCATGTTACCTCTTTGCGGTCGTGTTGGCAATAAGGAGTCAAGTTTTATAGCGTTTCAGAATGGCGTGGTCAGACGCCTATACCTACACTATAACTACATAATATGACACGTAGCCATATACATAGGAGCACGATATGTTTTCAAGTCAATTTACGCTAATTAGTAGACGTAAGTTATTAGTTAAAAAACTAAAACAGGCACAAATTATATGAAGTTTGATAAAATTTTGCTAGACTTACCAAATAAGGAAAGAGTTGAAAATTATTATTTTACTTAGTAGTTAAATAAAGCAAGGACACAACTGCTTAGTTTAAATCGGATTAATACCTAAGCTCAGCAGTCGTATGGTTCGTGAAATCGTGACTGACAGCCCAACGAGATAATATTAAAACTGACATCTATTGTAACTAGATGTATATGTACAATATCTAACTATCTAATAATATTTACTTAACAAACGATAATACATCAATGTAAAAGCTTTTGTCTGTACCTGCTTTACTTAAGCAAATATTTGCGTGTGTTGGTCCAATAAAATTGTTTACCAAACGAAATAAAGTTGTATGGCGACGTGTGTGCGACACTGCCCACAAACAAATACCTAGCTGTTAATACATTATTGTATCAATTTAATTAACATTAAAAGAAATTGGATCGGGCTTATCTATTCGTAAGGTATGTTTTGTTTATTTAGGATCTTTTTATTAGTCCTTTGAGACCTTATCTTTCGACATTAGGACTTTGTTTGCCATATTTGTGTGTTTTATGATTCACGACGAAGGTTATATTCTATTGATTTTATTATCGATTTAGGGTCAATAATCTGCTAGGCAGGTGATCTGGTAAAAGGACGAAACAAACCAAAATGACTATGGTTTAAAAGGTGAATGAATAGAAAAGTTAAGCCAGAAGAAGAACGCAGAATACAAGGCCATCACCACCGTTATATACTTTTCTTGCTGGTGTGTTAAGGTACCGTAATATTATCTAAAGTACAAAAGATAGCATATTCAAAAGCGACAGGGCAGAAGCGTTTTCTGTTTAATGTACCTAGTTCTTTATAAGTGCGACGTACAACTCAATCAATCATGCATATTATGTAGGTAAATGGCAGACCTTTCTTTTTTAGAGTATGCCTATAATTCTGACTTTAAGGAGTTGGTAGATTCCTAGGTAGATTGATAGTTACGATCTGGGGCCTGCTTAACCTGTGGTATTCACGCGAGACACAATGTGTTTTCTATTGTTTGTCATATACCGGCAGACATAAGGTTAGCGTTTGCGGTTTTTTTTTTATGTAATACATCGGCCAACCAGCAGACGGATTACCCGATGGTAAGTAATCAGCGCCTCCCATGGACACCCGCAACGGAGGAGTTACGAGTGCGTTGCCGATCTTTTAGGGATTAGGGATTTGGAGATTTAGGGATTGAGGAGGGATTGGGGGTGGGGAAATATTGGGCCTCCGGTAACCTCACTCACACGGCGAAACACAACGCTGTGGTTGTTTCACGCCGGTTTTCTGTGAGGCCGTGGTATCACTCCGGTCGAGCCGACCCATTTGTGCCGAAGCACACTAAAGTTGCGGGTGGAAGCGCAATGTTGCACCGAAGTCCCGGTTCGGATCAGGAGAGGGGACGGAATGGTGTTAGGTAAGAAAGAGTTTGACTGTCAGACACTCTCTCTCGCCCTACCCACGACAGATGAAGACATTTGATGATTTCCCTTACCCAAAAAAGAGTGTGGTGATATTGAAGATTAAGTTTTAAAACGCTTTCCTTACCAAGTTTAGTTCTTGTTCATCTGGTGCCATAGCACGATGAATGGAGCAGCAATACCAGTGCCAACGAACCAGAAGAAGTTCAGCGTGAGCCTTGTACGGTTGTGGATGTTGAATGGCAGGTTCTGGAAAAAAAATGTGCATTTTAGGCAAAGGTTCTTAATTCCTGGATCCAGTTGTTTATACCTAAGTATTTATTTGTCGTTTCGTAAGTTTATGGACGGTTTCCTCAGTAAATGGTGGCTAAACTAGCTTTTGGGGGTTAACCATGACGTTAAAAGCAAGATTGTTTTAATCTTACTTCAGTGTGGCTAAGAGACAGAGCTAGACAACTTGTATAGTCTACTTTTAATGTCATGGTTACCGGTTTCACCCTCAGTACCAGGATAGGCGTACGTTATTCTATATTACAATCTATCTCTGTGCCAAATATCAGTCTATAAATGCCCACTGCTGAGCAAAGGCCTCTTCTCACACGGAAAGGGTTTGAGCATTCATTACCAAGCTTGCACAGGGCGGATTGGCGATTTCAAACATGGTAATTAGACATTATTCGTCAAGAGATTAGAAATATCAACCGTATTTTCTCTGATCAATCAAATCAAATTCTCATACTAACATACTTATCTTATTCGGTCACTGCTACGCTTAGATGTTATATACCTATTATTTATTTATTTTATATTATTACTTAAGGAAGTAGGTATCTATTGTAAGAGATTTTATCGCTGAGAACTCCAATAATGATACGCAAACAGATTGATAACATATTCAGTCAGAAACAGTAAATGTGTTGTCTGAAATCTGAATTGTAGCTGATCCGAGTTCCATCGTCCTTATTTATGAAGATTCATAGACTATCTAAGACTAAAACTAGAAGGGTTTTTCATTATCAGCTCATAGGTTTTTTTTTGTTAGGGGAAAATCATCAATGACTTCTGCCGCCCAGGGCCGGGCGAGAGGGAGTGTCAGACTCTTACTGACTAAAAACCCCCCTGTTCCTTCTGCTCTGCGCTGAGGTCGCGGTGCCTCATTGCGCTTACCCCGCAACTCCGGCTATCAGCTCATAGGTAAGAGTCTACTGCTGGGCTTAAGTCCTTCTTCTTATATGGTAAATGTTTGAGCATAGCACCACGCTTACCGAAGGATTGGCGATTTCGAACTTATGTCGAATAAGTAGGAATGGTAATTCCTACTTATTCCTCTCGATATTTTTCTTTGCCGTAAATGTCAGAGATTTTTAAATAATCTTAGGAAGTGCTTATAACTCGGAAAACTCACATTAGTAGGTACCTACTTGCCAGGTTTTGAACATGCATCCTCATGAATCTCGAGGCTACCACGAAAGTTAAACACACGACATTATCATATTAAGGATAGGAACTCTATAATAGTATTGAAAAATATGAAAGTAAAAACGTAATGAACAAAGTCCGGATGGATTTTGACACCGATCGCTTTCTTGAACAGCGACTTAATTCGCCTGGTCCGATTCGATAAAATTTTACGACTGATTGTTTTACACGCTTGTAGCCACGTTATTCGCAAATACTGATCTATACAACATAGGTAGGTATTATATATATGGTTTAACAAACATTGCTCTGTGTAAACATGCATTGAAAACGTCTCAGTACGGGCAGCCTTCGCTGTTATGATGAATTAACAGAGGTGGATAAAGAATTATTATCATTGTATTACGACGAATTATACTTATAAACCACAAGAATATTGTCAAAATTATATTTAGTATCTATTCAGTTAGGTATACTACAATAGTTTATTGTATAATCGATACTATACTACACCACTTCATGGTTTCATTACAAAAATGGCAATTTACAAACACACCAGTTAGCGAGTTATGAGTTATTTTATGCTTTCGAACGTGACAAACAGGGACTTTTATTTACCTAGTCTTTTTTTATAAAAAAAGGTTGCGATGTATTTACGATTTAAGATAGTTTACTAGCCTATTACCTACTAGCCGTCGGTTTAATGTTGAAATTTAAATCAACAGCCTGGAATTTTTGGTTATTAGAGCTATAATGGTTCAGAATGCATTCCTTTAGTTATCATATGCCTAGATATAGGATCGAGCGTGAGGCATTTCTTTTCAATAAGTTTCTTATAGTTGATTAGGTAGGTATACATATTTGATTATTCAACAGGTTTAGTAATTCTGAATATACATAGCGAACGTTTTTCGCAATTAGGTAGGTACTATTAAAACTAATAAAAATTGACAAAGAAAGCCTAATGAGTATCGGGTGAAAACGTGGTTTGGGCACTTGAAAATTCTTTACCTGAATAGCCTTATAAAAATTACGTAATAGGAGATTATTTTGAAAAACTACTCACCTCGCCAGGAACTCCACCGTTAGATCCATTCCTGATGAAACTTCTCATTACATTCCTTCCGGATTGGTTTGAAATTCTTGCCAAAGGACCCAACATGTTGAATTTTATCCTCGAAATACAAAATGGCCAGGTAAAGTGTAGATAAGATAAACTATTGGATATTGGTTTTGACCGACGACTTGATAAGGACTGACTACGTTTCAACGAAGTTTGTAACTTGGTATAACCCGTCGATGTTAAATTGATTGAGTTTGTATGTAATATTTGTGTGAACGAAGCCTTTGCAATATGATTGGATTGTAATGTTATAGGTGATGAAGGAATTTAGGTATTTTGTAAAGTGTCTGGGTTCATTGCATCGTTTTTTTTCGTAAGGTAGTGTATTACTTGGATCAGAAAACGGTATTTGACCGTTAAACATCAATTTTAAAAGAAATTAATACGTCTGGAATCTATATTATTTAACTCTTCTGCTTTTACCAAGAAAGTGAGTAGGCACAAGGGCAGTCGGTATCGGCATTTATGTAGGTATACATATGACATGAGTCCCGTTGGCTATTGTTTATAAGTATATTTATCATTTAAGAAAGACTTGAAGAGTCTGTTGAGACATCAGATATGTGCTTTGTAGCCTTACTGACTAAAAACTATTCAGCAAAGAGTACCTAACTTCTCTCTACGTATGTACACTACGTTCTACTACCCAATTCCTTTTCTGCAATGAGAAAATATCTGGATATTTTCTCGATGCTTTCTGCGTTGGGTTGGTGTTGCGGTACAAGATTCCGCTTGTACTCGCAACCCCAGCCGTCCGCCGAGCGCTTGTAGCCCGTTATTTCGTATTGAAATACTCATTAAGCCAGTTTATAGGTTTTTGGTTGCTTCTTATGAATATTATTAGGTACATAGCTTTTAACTAAGCGAATTCCTAGGAAGCTACTACTGGGTGTTTACTACTATTAATAAACACATACTCCTTCGTAGATATTATTTAGCTCCCAAAGTTTTTTTTTAAATTATCGTGAGTTTATTATACAACAAAATCTATATGGAAGAAAATCTTGATTCTTTATCTAATTTTATTTATTCTCAAACAGACGAATGTTTTACGATGTCGCTTTAAAATTTAGAAACCTTAAGTACACTTTGAAATCTTCAGAAGTACTGTTTTATTCATAACGTCGATCTTAACGAAATGACTACAACGTGATAGGTGTTTCATTTTAAGGAAGGAAAATTAGTCAAAATTGTTGGTGCAGCAAGGGCAATTAACCGAGAATTGATTTGTTTTTTTAGTATATTTTCCCTGTTTTTGGTGAAACAGTGAATTTTTTAATGTTCAGTATGAAAACACTATAAAAATTCATTGGATAATAGTGTTTAATTATTACATTTATTAATTTTGTCCATTTATAACTTTCTTATTTTTATAGGTATAACTTTTTCTTGAACGGAAAGTAATGGTAGATTTCTTTTTATTGAGCTGGTAATTTCCATGTGACATATTGGGTTATAAAGTGGCAACCCAGGATCTGCCATTTTAAAAAAAAGAAACAGTCGGCCACGCTTGCTACAGAGATCATTTCACTTTTCGGGGGCTAATTTTCCCCCTTTACGTTTAGTTCCAATATTACTGTTTGTACCTCAATACCAGAGTAAATCTTTGAATCCTAAATCGTAATTTGAAATGGCAGACTTAGACGATTTTTTTGCGAAGAAGGACCGCAAAAAGTCCAAGGCGATTAAGAAGTTTGCGACGGCTGATGAGTTAGCCAAAAAATTGGATGACCCCAAACAGAAATCAGATGTAAGGCCGAAGAAAGAACGGCCGGTCCAGGAAGGAGAAGAAGGAGGAAGAGCTGGGGTGAGTTTTTAACATGAACTTTAATTTTATCATTTTCACCAGACTTTATAGACATCTTTGTGTCGTGGTGATTTCGTGTTCTTTCTTGAAGAGTAGTATAAGCCTTCTTATTTCTATGATGACTGATGTCGCTTGTCAATTTATTAAGTCTCTGTACCGTATGACCTGGTTTCGCATGAAAATCTAGCCATTTTTGTAGGTTGACAATCATAGCCTAATTTAAGTTTCAATAATTTTCTTAAATGCTCGAAGACGTAAGTTGCGATCATCATTTCGCACGGTCTTGTTTCGACAGATGAAGTTTGAATTGCATTGTCATTACATGGGGGGTGGATATAGGTTATGTTAAATATTTGTGAAGAAAGTTGGGTAAATGTAAATTTTTGCTAGCAAGCTATTGTGACTTGTGCAAAAAAAATACCATGCGTTTAAATTGAGCTTCATCTTTAAGACATAAGTTCAGTTAAGAAAAGTAAATATTTCTTTGTACTTTAGCTGCCCATAGATATATTTTGCATGATACAAACATTTTTAATTCACACATGGATTCAAGGCAAAGGAAATGTGTATACAGCCAAAAACAACCCATCTTCTTTATTGTTTCCAAGAAGGTTTAATCTTAACTGGATACAATAACAAATGTGCTAATGTAAACAATTATAATTTGTTATTTATGTACTTATTCATATTGACAATGTGACAACTCAACTGTGTCACTGGATATATTTATGGAGTGTTCAAGGAAAATTATAAATTAAGATAAAGTATTTTATTAGAAGTGTGGTGTTTTATAATATTTAAACTCAATTTCATCATACAATATGCATTTTTAAGTGTTTATTATGTTGTATCTTTGATTTAATTAACATTTTTGGTTTTATCTTTGTTTTGAACTTGTTTAACAAACAATCAGTTCTTGAGTGACTAATAAAAACAGCAGCATGGTGTTTTTAATAAAGTTGTCACTAAGCTATTTATGCAGTCAGCAGTTTGAGAAAACATTGCGGACATTACTGATAATCATATACTGTATTTGTTGTGTACCACCTTGTTTTTAAACTCACTAGTTAAAAGAAAAAATAGAATAAGGTTTTTAAACACAATTCTTTGATACAAAAATAAATGGCATTTTCATGTCATCAATAATACACCATGAAGGATATAATGCATAAAATATACAGTTGAATTCATTTTGATATTGAAAGTGTGATCTACTTATTATCAACATAATTCATGCCTTAATACATACATAAAATATATGTATTTTAAAACTGCTTAGATTATGTGCATTAAATTTTTATGATAAAAAGCATATTATAATATTCTAGTGATTCCTTTGTTATTTTTTATCACATGATCACGGCCCTACTTTGTCTATGGTTGTGTAAGGCCAGTATGTGAGCTGTAAAGAGTATTTATTAGAATATTTAAATGTTTTGAATACCTTTTTGTTGAAATAAAGACAAAATTTGACTCAGTTATTACCTAAAGACATCTGTGACCAGTCAATAAGGGATGGATAACAGAATCTTGAAATTTTTGGAGTCTTCATTGTGATCCTCAATCCGTCATCCAAGTGTGAGGGACTATGTCATACCTTAGTAGAAACTGATGAATACATACCTATTTGTTCAACAGTGGACATAATGTAAAAAATTCTGATTTAATAACATACATTAGAAATGTACTATTGGATATTTGTAGAATAATTAGTAAGATTTTTAGATCATTTAGCTAATGTGTATAGTTTTTTAATTAGTCCAGTAATTTGCTTACTGATAAAGGTCTAAATTAACATTCTCTCTAATTATTTCATAATACATAGTGATTTGATTTTATGACATTTTAATAGACAGACTTACACCCGGTTTTCGAAAGGCCGATCAATGTTAAAATCAATTTTATCTCTTGTCAAGTCATCTGATTGGTTTACTGAATTATCAACAACCAATCAAGTGACTTGACAAGAGATTTGACACCTAGTTAGTTGATTTTAACATTGATCGGACTTTTGGAAACTAATTAGAAAAAGACCTAATTTCGCCAATGACTTCTTCCAAACTGGGTGGAATGAGAGATAGACAGACTCTTACTGACTAACAAACATTTAGGTTTTTTTTTGTTACGGAAAAATCATCCCATGTCTAGGAGAAGGATAAGGCGAGAGGAAATGTCAGACTTTTACTGACTAAAAAAACGCCCTCATTCAATCTGCTTTACGCCGCGGCCGCGATGTCTCATTGCACCTACGCTACCTGCTACGCCAGCTGTATAGTTATCATATAAATAAGAAACCTGTTATGTATGCCTGTTGCTTGCTTGTTATGGATGTGCTCTGAGCAGTGCCTCGGTACATCATGGCCTTTTACCCCCAACCCGGACTTCACCTGCCAAAAACTATTGACACACAAATAGAGTTAAGCAATTAATAACTTTCCGAACACAGCTTCACTTGGAGGGATGAAAAGAAAGATTTCTTCTGTTTCCTTACAAAATTAAATAATGTCATAAAAGCCCTGTTATATTTAATTTTAGAGAAATTTGTCACACTTTCTAGCTGTATGCTGTTATTGAGAAATAGTTATTGTTGATAGCTATTGTTTGTACATCAAATTTTTAAATGTATGTAATACATATAATTTGAAGTTTTGTAATTCATAGTCCATTCAAATCTGTTGTTTAGATTGGTGTGGTCAAACAATCTCTTCAGCTTTATAATATTGGTATAGATAAAAGTAAAAAAGAGGTTTATGAGTTAGTAGTAGTTCATCCCAGTTCCCTATCCTCTATATAAATTTGAATTGCTGCTTGTTAGTCTCTCTAAAACTTGGAAATGGTTGGATTGATTTTGGTATTTTAGGTCTTAAATATTCTTTTAAGCTTTGTAAAATATTTGTTATTTTGTGGTGGTATGTACTTCTCTGGCTGTTCTGTTTGTTAAAAAAATAAAGACATTTGTAATAAAATAGATTATCCTTTATATTTTGGCGGTGTGTTTAGTCTTTGACTTAGCTGAATGCTAATCCTCCGCTAGCGTCGGACACTATTGTCCGACACATGGCGTTGTAGGCCTTAAAAAAATAACAATAATTATAAAGCAAATCAATTTTCATTTACATTGTGTTAATGAGATTTATGAATATAAGTCTCATACATAACATATCTGCAAAAGCCGATTGGCAAACAGATCTGCAAAAGATCGCCAAAATAAAAACAAATAATAGACTATTTTTTTTAATTTTAACTTTCTTTTGTGTAATATAATGTAAGTGTAACATAATGTAAGCTAAGGATCTGAATAAAAGGCTATCTTATTATAATATGTTATGAATAGGTAGCTGGGCGAAATACTGGCATGCCTAATAACCACAAAGTTCACTAGTAAAAGTAATTAATAGTTTATCAGTTCATAGTTTTCTAAATCATCACCAAAATGTTTCAGGAGGAGGAAGAATGGAAGGAGTATGAGGAGCCAGTCAAGGATTACACCGGGCTCAAGATCCAGGTGCTGCAGGGCGGCAATGGACAGCCGGAGTCCGGTCGTGACTCCGCCTCTGAAGATGTAGCGCCTGAAGGCGGCAAAGTGAAGGGACCATGGAATAAGCCAGTGAGTATCATCCTGCTTATAAGTGTGGGAGAGCCATGCTTCGGCACGAATGGCACGAATGGCTCGACCGGAGCGATACTACGGCCTCACAGAAAACCTGCGTGAAACAATCACAGCGTTGTGTTTCGCCGTGTGAGTGAGGTTATCAGATATCATTAAATCTCCAAATCCCTTATTACTAAAAGGTCGGCAACGCACTCGTAACTCCTCTGTTGCGGGTTTTCGTGGGCGGCGCTGATTGCTTACCATCAGGTAATCCGTCCGTTCGTTTGCCGACATATTAAATAAAAAACATACATAAATGTGAAGTTTGTATGTATGTATGTTTGTTATTCTTTCACGCAAAACGGCTAGTCCGATTTAGTTAAAATTTGGTATGTAGATAAGTCATACCCTGGATTAAGACAGAGGTTTTTTATCAACATACCATGCGGGTGAAGCCGCGTGCGTAAGCTAGTTCAAATATATGTAGAGGATGCAGATGATGAATTCAATTTATATTTGAAATTTTGATGTCGTAGTACATAACATGTATACAGAACAATGACTGTGACCTTGTAAGTCATTATTATGTAAGCAGTAAAGGTGACTTTTGTATATCAATCTCTCTAGTGTTTCGACTTGGAGAGTCAAATAAATTAACATAATTTTTTTCTTTTTTCATTTCGATATATTGTTGTTTGGGAGTTATGTATTCTTGCTGTTGTGTGACGTGAGTGGATTGTCTTAGTAATAGAGTGGTTGCAAGCGTGCCTGCCGCGGTCTCAGGTTCGATTCCTTAGTCGGTAAAAGAATTTGTGGCGATACACATACAATTTAACGGATGACGTCCAAAAATCCTACAGGCTGGTCACCTCGCTTTGTCGGAGGATCTTCTGGATCCTCTTTTTTCTATTTTATGGAACTTAACTCTCTGTTCCTTAAAAATCTCGAGATTTTCTTGAAAGCCATTGTATGTAAAGCTCTATCTGCTCGTATTTTAGCTAAAAAAACGGGTGGCTCTAATCAGTTAAAACTCTTTTTTTTTATAAGCAGAATCATTCAATTACTTTTCCAGGGGCTGTCAGACCAGCCAGGGTTGCGGGGTAAGCGCAATGAGGCACCGCGACCTCGGCCCAGAGCAGGAGAAGGAACAGGGGGGTTTTTAGTCAGTAAGAGTCTGACACTCCCTCCCGCCCGACCCTGGGCAGAAGAAGTCATTTGATGATTTTCCCCTCACAAAAAAAGGGTCTGTCAGACTCTTACTGACTAAAAACCGCGTCGTTCCTTCTTCTGCTCTGGACCGAGGCTGCCTCATTGCGCTTGCCGAGCTACGACTCTTAGGCTGTAGATATTTTAACTTCTGTGATGTTATTATTTATGCCAAAATGATATAAATTACAGCAACAGCCGGAAACAGAAACGCCTGCGCCCCCTGCGCCCGGGGACGAGCCGAAGCCACGCGAGACCAAGGTCTACGTGCCGCCGTCCCGCCAGCGCCCCGTCGAGAACGTGCGCAGGAGTACGGTAAGACACCATCATTCATTTTTTTATGTGATAAGACGACAAACAAGCTGACGGATTACCTGATGGTAAGCAATCAACGCCGTTCATAGACACCCGTAATTCCAAAGGAGTTATGAGGGCGTTTCGGTTATTTAAGGATGGGGTAGGGGGGGGGGGAGGTATTGGGCCTCTGGTAATATCACTCTTCCGGCGATATACCGGCTGACAAGAGCAAATGGAAAATCTTTTTTCGGTAGCTTCAATCGTGGTTCAAAATTGACCATCGGCGGCCCTGATTGCTTACCATCGGGTAATCCGTCTACTCACTTGCTGTCCCAAACCCATAAATAAATGTACATTGTTATTAAAGTGTTTGTATGAATTTGAATAAAATCCAGAAGCACGCGCCGGACATCCACAACGACGACTACTTCCCGGTGCTGGGCGCGAGCAGCAAGCGCGGCGGGGGCGGCTGGAGCACGGCGGGCGCCGGCGCCGCGCGCGACCCCCGCGACCACGCCGCGCCCCGACACCAGCTCGCGCTCGGGAACCGGTTCACCTCGCTGCAGGACGACAGCTAGCCAGGTACACGCATAGCGCCACGCCACCTTCAAATTGTCAAGAGACGGCCTTAATCCTTTTTAAAATCCCGCAACTCGTCTGTGACCACTCTCAAGACGACAGCTAGCCAGGTACACACATACCAGCTATTGTATAGCCCCACAGCTAATGCATAGCGCCACAGCTGTTACAGCTATTTCTAAATAAATACCACGTTTAAACCCTCAAGGAACGAACATACTACTTCTTAAATGCCAGCAACACACCTGTGACCACTCTCAGGATGACAGCTAGCCCGGTACACCACCATAGCGCCACGGCTATTACATAGCGCCACAGGTATTCCCGAACCTATACCACCTTCAAACCTTCAAGAGACGAACGTACTCCTTCTTAAAAGGCCGGCAACGCACCTATGACTTCTTTGGTGCCGCACGTGTCCAAGTGCGGCGCTGATCATTTGTCATCAGGTGATCCGTTTGGCTGGGTGGCTATATGAGATGTAGATTGATATATAGGATACTTATAACCGAGTTTGCGAGCGCAATCATGTATGGACGAAACTTAGTAGTTTTTAGTCAGTAAGAGTCTGGCACTCCCTCTCCCCATCCAACAATTAATTCCCAAAAAGTATGGCTGAGCCATGCTTTGGCACGAATGGATCAGCTCGATCTAAGTGATAGCACAGCTTCACAGAAAACCGCCGTGACACAACTACAATGGTGTGTTTTGCCGTGTGATTGAGGTTACCGAAGACAATTGTGTCCTAAATTACCTCGGTTTGAAAAATAAATACTAGCTCTTCATCCCTCCCTACCTTAATCAGCACTGCCTCGTTAGCTTCGCGATTTTCCAATACTACCGTATGTTTTTGGTTTTAATTTTTTTTAACAACATTACATATGTAGCATCAAGCATAAAAGGAATTATCGGAAACGGTCTCACGCGTCGTGTTATGACCAAGGCCTAGAGCAGAAGAAGGAAGGAGCAGGGTGATTTTCAGTCGAATACGTCAATAAACGAAATTCCCTCTTGTTACACCCAGGGCAAAGATGATTTTCCCTCCTCTAAAAAGCGAAATAGTTTGTTTAAATTTTAGCATGTATTCTAATTGTTTATTTTTTTGCAGGTAACAAAAACCCACAACGTGATACGCTGCAGTAAAGTGAAGTGTCATTATGGACTTGTAAGCAAAGCCTGGCGCATAGCATATACAATATTTACCACAACACACACTCATACAGAAAGAACAATATGCATTTCTACTTAGCCCCATGCAGGAGCCCACTTAAATGGCGGCCAGACAGTTGCTAGCAAAGAGACTGTTCTAAATTTAAATTCTTTTTACTTCTCTTCAGTGCTGTTATTCGTTAAGCCAGTAACAAATCGATTAGTTTACAATCGATACAATATTTCGACGTCGTCCCTTTCGTATGAATTGTAGACAATAAATTGTAACGCCTCAAGTGCTTTCGGTACATTACTTATGTAAGAAACACACGTTTTACGTACACTTTTTACAATACAACATGGCAACTGTCTTAAAAAAAGTGTAAAACAAGAAATGAATGTGCGATTTGTTATTTTTTATGTTTATATTGATAAATAAATATTAAAAAAATGTGTCTGGTATGCGTGAAAATGGACATTTAGGGATAAAATATTGGTGGAATTATTTATACGCAATCCTTGATGATATAAAGTGTTGATAATCAATAAACCAAGCGTGGAATATAGATTTTTATATTTAAACGAAATTGTTATAAAAATGAAAAACATTTTGGTATTAACATAAAGCGCTCCGGTGACCACATTGTACATTTGTTTTGATATTTCAATTATAAATTCTGTTAACAGCAAATCATTGGAAATATCTTGTACCATAGAAATAAATTATGTATTAAAATTAATTGTTATTTTATTTACCTTATCTTATTATAAGGAAGCTATAAGGGTCTATCATCAACTGAACATTCTATAGTGCATATAAACCAGGTTCAAATTCAACCTGTACAAAGTGAAAACGGTCCTTCAGCCCCGGTTGACTTTGTGGCTAGGCAATTGGATAGTTTCCTAGGTCACTGTACCGTATTATGTCTTTTTTGTGTGATTAACAAATTGTCCAGGCCTGGGTTTTTTCTGTGAGGGCAATATCATCAAATGACTTGTCCGGCCCAGGACCGGGCGGGAGGGAGTATCAGACTCTTACTGACTAAAACCCCCCCTGTTCCTTCTCTTGCTCTGGGCCAAGGTCGCGGTGCCTCATTGCGCTTACTCCGCAACCCCGGCTGAACATAGCCCTGTAGGGCCCCGTCTGTGGTGGTCGAATGGCTCTTTGAGGCGCGCGCGGAACGCTACGCGCCGTACGCTCGGGCCTTGTTCTGGTCGGGCGGCGAGCTGCCCTTACTCGCCAACCGCAGACCCGCGCTTACGGTGGCCGGAGATCGTCCCTTGATCCCCCGACGCCCGGTCCAGGCCTGGGTGTAGTATGTTTTCCAAATAATAGTAACAGTATTTAAATAATAGTAACAGTATTTTATTATGTTTACTTTTGTACTACCAAAACATGGGAAAAGTCACATTGTTACTAAGGTATCAGATTTCGATACCGCACATATGCGGGCATGGGAATACTAAGCCCTAGAATTTGAGGGGTAAATACAAAACAAAACTTTGGAACGGTCCTTATAAAAATGCCGGTCTTGCAGAATGTCCATGGGCGGCGCTAATCGTTGACTGCACCTTTGGCGCGGTGGCTGGGCAACTGGCTGCCGCGCAACGTGTCGCGGGCTCGATTCCCGCACGGAACAACTCTTCGTGTGATCCACAGATTGTTGTTCTGGGTCTGGGTGTGATGTGCCTGTGAAATTGTATGTTTGTAAACGCACCCACGACACAGGAGAAAATCCTAATGTGGGGCAACGTTAAAAAAACACTTACCATCGTTACCCGTCTGCTCTCTGCCGCAGACGTTGGGAATCTTTTCTAGAAGGTTAACCTATGCTATATTTTCCCCTCGAATTGTATTCACCCCGTTTCACGGTAAGTACCAAATACAATAATTAATAAGTTTAGTTTGTGGGTAAACTAGATATATGAAAAGTATTGTGACCCCGTAGTTATAATTGTTGAAAACTCGTGCACAACAACTAAAATACAAAAATATCAACGACATCTGTTATTCATTACTAGATATATGTTTATTCTATTCATCAGCGCCATCTATTGTACTGTCAGCAGAAACATAGTTAAGATGGCGCCGAATAATGTGAAATAGTACCGTAAAACATTATAGATGGCGTTGTATCAAGAAGAATATTTAAAAACATGCTTTTTATTAAATTATACGTACTCATGTGAAATATTTAATGATATTTTATGACGATCATTATGCATATAATAATTTTTGTAACTAAAAGAAGGTTTCAAACTATTTCATTCTATATTTTAATAAATATAATATAAAGTTCTAGATCGCGCTATCAACATTTTTTTTAACAGTGCCTTCTGTAGAAAAATTCGTGCTCGACTACCGTACTTGCTTCGGCAGTACATATACTAAAATTGGAACGATACAGAGAAGATTAGCATGGCCCCTGCGCAAGGATGACACGCAAAATCGTGAAGCGTTCCACATTTTTTGAAGAATTTGGGTAGTAGGTAACCTTAGTAAGTTCATTTCTTTTTTCTCTCGTAAAATAAAAATATGTTATTTACTTTTTGTTTTAATAAGCTGTGTGTTGAATAATTTGATATGAAAAATACGTTTACATGTTCTGGTCATCAGGAAACTTGGGTATGCTAGTGAGCCGAAACTCGACATAATCTTTTCCAACTTTTTTAACTTTTTATAACAACAATTTATCATTAACTATAATCATATTTGTACACCAGTTTTTGGTAGAACATGTTGATCCTAATGAATATTTAACATCAATAATATGCATCAATAATGTATAATTATATTCACACATGTTTTGACAAATAATCGTATCTTTATCTTTATCTTTATCTTTATCTTTATCTTTATCTTTATCTTTATCTTTATCTTTATCTTTATCTTTATCTTTATCTTTATCTTTATCTTTATCTTTATCTTTATCTTTATCTTTATCTTTATCTTTATCTTTATCTTTATCTTTATCTTTATCTTTATCTTTATCTTTATCTTTATCTTTATCTTTATCTTTATCTTTATCTTTATCTTTATCTTTATCTTTATCTTTATCTTTATCTTTATCTTTATCTTTATCTTTATCTTTATCTTTATCTTTATCTTTATCTTTATCTTTATCTTTATCTTTATCTTTATCTTTATCTTTATCTTTATCTTTATCTTTATCTTTATCTTTATCTTTATCTTTATCTTTATCTTTATCTTTATCTTTATCTTTATCTTTATCTTTATCTTTATCTTTATCTTTATCTTTATCTTTATCTTTATCTTTATCTTTATCTTTATCTTTATCTTTATCTTTATCTTTATCTTTATCTTTATCTTTATCTTTATCTTTATCTTTATCTTTATCTTTATCTTTATCTTTATCTTTACCAACTGTTAGTGACTATGGACCTAAGATCTAGATACGCCCGTAACAATATGTATTATGTACTTTTTTATGTTATAGGTCGACAAACGAGCAGACGGGTTACCAGATGGTAAGTAATCGGCGCCGCCCATGGGCAGCAACAGAGGAGCTACGAGTGCGTTGCATCTTTCGGGGATTAGGGATTAGGGGAGGGGAAGGATTGGGCCTCCGGTAACTTCACTCACACCGCGAAACACAACATTGTGGTTGTTTTAGGTAGGTAATCCGGTTTTCTGTGAGGCCGTATATCATTTGATAATTAAATATAGTTGCATTAACTTAAAATCACGGGTTAATCACGTGTGCAATGGAGAAAAGCTCTACTACGCTATACGCTTCGGCGCGTAGGCCGCGCGACGTCGCCGCGTCTGCGCACGCTGCTCATGAGGAAGAACCCCTCTGTGGTTCGAAACTAGTAGAGCTTTTCTCAATAATTACACACGTGAGTACCTAACCCGCGATTTTTAGTTAATTTAGTATGTCTCACGATAGTTATTATAAAAACAAGTATAATTGCCTAGTTTCTTGATATTCTCTTGCTTAGGTTTTATTATAAAGTTCGTTGTAACTCTGGGAAAATCATCAACTGACTTCTCTCGCCTAGGGCAAGGACAGATGGAGTTTCAGACTCATTCGAACTAAAACCTCCGTTCCTAGTTCTGCTCCAGGCCTTATTACGGTGTACCCCGACTAGGCATTGTTCATGTTGGGTCCCATATTTGGTGGTCTATTGGCTCTTTGAGGCTCTTGCGGTCTGGTTCAGTTCACCCTGGTCGCCGACTTCCTCATCAGCGAATATCGTCGCAGATAGAGGAGACGGGTTTCCAGTTCCTCTCGCTCGGCACCGGGTGCGAGAGATCGCAGCCGTCGTTCACTTTCCTGAGGACAAGGGCGGCGGTGCTCAGCCCAAGCAGGGCACACATCCACCTTATGCTCCACCGTGTCCCCACAAAGACGGCACAATGTTCGTAGTACCTACGGTATGCTTGTAGGTAGGTATTAAGAATTAAATACCGCTACCACGTCGGCCATGGTTTTTTATTTACTTACGTTTAAAAAAGTTTCATTTTTCAGTACGGTTCCAGGTCCTGTATAGATTCTCTTTTGGGTTTTGATGTACAATGTACCAGATATTATAGGCTTTTTTTTGGGAGGGGAAAATCATCAAATGACTTCCCTCGCCCTGGGCGGGGCGGTAGGGAGTGTCAGACTCTTACTGACTAAAAACCCCCCCGTTCCTTCTCCTGCTCTGGGCCGGTCGCGGTGCCTCATTGCGCTTACCCTGCAACCCCGGCTGATTATAGCCTTGCAACTTATTTTAAAGTTTCCTTGTCGCCTGATGCGACTACGCTACGTCAGTCCTCGCAAGACCGGTCATCCAGAAATCAACCATTTCAACACATATACACTGTACCACCGAGTACAGTAACTGAACGCAGTTACGTCTCTAGCGCGACTGGATTGAATTCGCTTTTCCTTATCATAGTTAACGGTAAAATAAAAGGATTTAAATTATTTTTTCTTTACTGATATTTTAGACCCGTTTTCGATCCCTGGTAGATAGGTATGTCTGTCCAGCCTAATGGGAAACAGTAGTAGTACTTATATAGTTTTAGATGTAGGTAGGCTAGCCTGGAGCGATACCACGGCCTCAGAGACAACTGGAGTGAAACAAGCAGTGTTGTGTTTCCCGTGTTAGTAAGGTTACCTGAGGCCCAGTCTCCGAAAGGTCGGCAACGCACTCGTAGCTTCTCCGTTATTGCGGGTGTCCATCGCACCAGAGTGCCTTGCGGGCCTTTCGGGGATTACGGTTTTAGAGATTTTGGGATTGGGGCAAGGAAAGGATTGGCCCTCCGGACTTTAAAATACAAACTTGTTGCATCTGAAGTGCCGTGCTATAAGTATCTGCCTGACCCAGTTCTCGAGAATGGAGATGTCACACTGTATTGGGATCGAACTATCATCCTTGATAGGACAATTGCAGCCA